GATCAGCGTTCAGCAAACTTAGAGGTCTATAGCTGGCGCAGTCAACTAGGTCCTTATCTTTCTTTAACAATAAAGAAATTAGTGCAAGGTTAACATCTCTTGAAAAACCTCCTTCATCTATTGATGTTCTTACCGTATCTAACATTAGTGGGCCAAGTTTGTCCCAAAATGTGACATAAAGCTCGGGAGGTATCCCATCGAAACCTGGAGATTTATTCCTTTGCATAGCAAGTGCTGCCCCCTTCAGTTCTTCCAAGGAAATCGGAGCATCCAGATTTGCAGCATCATCCTCTAAAAGCCTTGGAAGGTCTATCTGATCAAGAAAATTAGCACACCTATCACTATCCACTCGAATCTCCGACTGATATAAGTTAGAATAAAAGGTTCTGAAGGTTTCATTTATTTGTTTAGGATCAGTTGTGACATTACCCGTACACAACCTAATGGATGGAATATCTGTAAAAGATTCATTGGTTCTGATTCTAGAAGCCAAAAGATGGCTGGGCCTCGAACCTTGAAAATAATATTGTTGTCTAGTCCTGTGTATCAGGAACTCAGACTGTTGTTTAAGAATGTTATTTATTTCCTTCTTAATAATGTCACGTTGTATTTCAATCTGTCTGGAATAATTTGTTTGCAATAGCGAATCCAATCTAGCAAAGTCTGTCTCTAAGTTTTGTAATGTAGCAGCTCTAGCTTTGCGCATATTCGAAGAAAATAAAGTGGCATTACTCCTGATAAATCCCTTAACAGCGTTCCAAAGAACTCTGGGATCTTCCACTGAGCCCACATTAATGTCTAAAAAATCCTGTAATTGAACGTTAAACTGTGATTTATAATCTTCATTTCCCAACAATGAGGAGTGAAGCGCCATCTAGGTGCTTTTTTAGATAAACTACCAATTAAGACATTGCTGAGGACCCCTTTATGATCTGAAAGTGCCATAGGAAGAAGAGTAACATTATTAATATTTTGAAACAGCTGAGGTGAAGAGAAAAGAAAATCTATCCTCGAAGAGGTTTTGTGCCTGGCTGAGAAAAAGCTGAAATCTGTCAATGTAGGATTAAAAGTACACCAGACATCCATCAATCCTAAACTCTTCACCCAGGCCTGCAAGGCTGCAGTCGCTAGCTCCTGGTCCTTATTAGCAGTCGCAGTAGACCTCTCAGATGCCTGCCAGACAGCATTCACATCAGCACCAACAATAAACAAATATTCAGTCAGTTTCAGCATTTCTTGAGTGAGTGCACTATAAAATTCTTTATCAAATTTGATGGGGGTATAGGCTGAGATAATAGCTACCTTTCTCCCAAACATTTCTACTTTAGCAATTGTCATCCTCCCATTATTGTCTGCCCATGTGTCCAAAACTTTAATTTTCAAATTACACTTACAAACGATGGCTACTCCTCTGCTTTTTGAATCTGCTGAAGAAGCTGCTATGGTGTGATAAAATCTGTTGGCCAGGCGAGCTGAGTCCTTCTTTAATAGGTGTGTTTCTTAAAATAAAGCTATGTCTATTCTCCTTCCTTTAAGGAAAGTAAGGACACTAGCTCGTTTGTGGGGTATATTCAAACCATCACAATTCCACACTAGGATTGATAATTCACCCATTAAATTGCATTATACTCCAAATACTGCTCACTGATCTAGACAGAGTGGTAAGTAGTCGGCATAGACAGGATCTCCTCATACTAACCAACATCAATTTCTGTGCATGTTCCCCGAAACATAAAAAAAACACATCCCTCACAATATTCTTAAAAACCTGAAGGTGGCACCGTAACCCCAATGACAGAACAAATACACCCAAAAACAAAATATTAACACATACAAAACAGTAAAGAAAACAAACGCTTTTATGTTGATCTGCGATTGGTATGAACATAGGGCCGCGAAAGAGCAGAACCCAACCCAATACTTAACACAGTAAACCGTTGAGTAAATATAATAGGCAAATAAGAAAAGAAAACAACAGCAGTAATCTTCCATACCAAGATCCGAACATAACAGTCCGGCCCCAGCATGTTGACTTAATAAAATAAACAAAAACAACAGCTGCAATCTTACTTACCAAAATCCGACTATATCAGTCCAGTCCCCATGTTGACTTAATAAAATAAACAAAAACAACAGCTGTAATCTTCTTTACCAAAACCGAATATATCAGTCCAGTCCCCGCATGTTGACTTAATAAAATGAACGAAAACAGAGGGAGAGAGAGCATCCCAGTCTCACATCCATAGGGAAAAATAAAGAGTGCAATCCGGGCAGTGGGCTATAAGTCTGCAGTAAATCAGTCAGTGAATGAGACAAACAGAATAAAATAAAATGTATCCAATGGATCCTTTGAGACTTTAAATCCAAGAAAACTGTCCGCATATCAATAACCATGAGCCAGTTAACATGCTTCGTAATGTCAGTGAAGGAAGGAAGCCGACATAGCATTAGCAGCCAGGATTAAGTTAGCTTGTAGCTCTCCCATGGTTAGCAACTTGTCAACAAACAAGCAGCGTTGTAGAGTAAGGATGTAGTGAAAATATACCGAGTAACGTGTGGCTGTTAAAGCTGGTTGTGGATATAGTTACCAGCTAGTTATCCACATCACCATCCTCCGCCCGGGCCTGTCCTCTCAGCAACGACGTGATATATTCCTCAGCTTTCCCCGAAGATTGGAAGGCTTCCACCGCACCAGCTTTGGATTTGACTTTGAGGGTAGCCGGATAAATCAGGAAGAACTCAATGCCACCGGCTCTTGCTTGATCCATGGCCGTGGAGAAGGCCAAACGACGCCTCACTGTGTGAGCGCTGTAATCCGGTAGAAAGTGTAGTTTCCGACCATCGATGACAGGAGGATTCCTTCTTGCAGCTGCGAGGATGTCTTGTCTGACTGTGTACCGAAGGCAGCAGAAAATCAGAGTGCGGCCCGTCACGTTTGCAGCCCCGGTACAGTTGTACATGCGGTGCGCCCTCATAATCTCTCCCTGGAGGTTGCTAAGAGAGGGGAACCACTTCGGCAGGTTTTCAGTAAGAAACTGGATGGCATTAGATCCCTCCGTTCCCTCCGGCAATCCACTAATCCTCACATTACAGCGTCTACTCCGGTCCTCCATGTCTGCTAACTTAGCGCGCATCGCTGCCTGCCCGGTGTCATGCTCAGCTAGCTTGCCGGAGTTAGCTCCCACGTTAGTATGCAGTGTGCTAACCTCGTTTCTGATTTTGCCAATTTCCTTCTTTTGCAGTGTAAAGTCCGCTCGAATACCAGACACCTCTCCCTGAAGATTGTCGAGGCGTGCATCAAAACCAGCCAAACGGGTGTCCATACAAGCAATATGAGCGTCTATTTTTCCCAGCACGCTGTCCACGCTGGTTAGCCTCGATAGCACAGTGTCCATTTTAGCTTCCAACTTGGCCATTGCGCCCTTCCCCGATCTCAAAATTACCATCAGGCGAAGCCTATCCTGTATGAAAACGTTGTGGCTCCTTACTCAACGTAAAAATAGCTTGCTGTCCGAGAAAAGTCACTCAAACGGTTTTTATGAACAAAATTGTAATCAGTAGGCTGAGGAGCTGAAATCTAGGCAGCCATCTTGTGCAACCGCTCGCCGGAAGTCGGTGAAGTGAATTGTCACCACAATGTACAATTGGAAGTACAGCTACATGTCTACTGCTGTAGCAGACAAGTGGTGTGAATGTAATGTAATTGTAATGTAAGTGGAATCAAAAATTTTTGATGTGGACCAAAAATGTACAATGATATTTATATTGCACAATTATAAATAAATGTCAACGGTACTATGCCTCACTCAAGGGACACCATTTGTTGGGACCTGACCTAGTAACAGGCCTCCAATCGAAGTATCACAATGGTTATTTAGCATAATTAATAATTATTATTAAAATTATTAATTATTTACAAGAGCGATTTTGATACTATAATTGGAGGCCTGTTACGAGGTCTGGTCCCAACACAGCAAACATAGCTAGCCTAAGTAGTCATGTCCACAAGCCCCCTTATATCACAATGAACATCATTCACAAAGCATCAGTAAAAAACACGAACGGTATCACTCACCATCAGAAGAACTGTTGGAGCTGAACTTGTCCTGTTTCCCTGTGCGCGTTGGGTTAGATAGCTGGTGGTGTTCAGTTTTGCATTTGTGCATCCATCCTCTTCTTGGTGTACATAATATACTTTTATCCTTAGCGTGAAGACACTACCAAGATCTTGCAGGTTCCTTGCTAGACTTTTGGAAACTAATAGCTCCCTCCCCAGTAACAGGATTGGCTTTTAACATTAGGCTGTGTATAATGCTAGCTTGACCTTTGATCACAAGTCAAGTGTGTTTACTCTTCACCTTTCCCACAATGGCTTCTCTCCCAGTTTTGCCAATCCATACAAGTAATCCCAAACTCAATTATTCTGTCAAACGGCATGTATACCTGCAATGCCACCGGGACACTGACAATGCAACGTGTGTTCTACCTGTTGGGCGCCATGTGACTTCATTCATTTGTGCACTACTCTGGCCATAAAAACATGTTTTCAGAGAACGAAACAATCATCAAAGAACAAAACTTCCTTCACAGTACTGACCTTACCAAGCCTAGCTCAGCTACTAGCAAGTAAGCAGACAATAGACATGTACCATCCCAGTGAGATCGCCAGCTGGCTTGTGTAAAGATGGCTGCGTCCTGCTGGTGAAAACATGAAATACAATCTAGTTGTCCAGCAAATCTAGATGGATACCAAGTTTGATCAGTCATTTTTGCCTATAAGGTGAAAATCAAACAAACCACAGTCATTTTGTTCTGTGTTTCATTTCCTTTTTAAGGTAACCCCATCATCCAAGTAAATGTAAATAATGGCCACCATTTCCCAGTTCCGTCTCTTCACTTGTATGTTCCTGTTTCTCAGCCACCTCCCTCTCTGCCCTTGTGTCTCATCTATTTTCCCATAATAAACTAGTGAGTGACTGACCAAAGGTCTTCCCTGCCAGGCTCTAACCCCTGTGAGCTAAGCTGCTTGGCCCTGGGTCACAACTTCTACTACAACTTTGGTCGTGTGCTCGATGGCACAGCCTGTGACAAGGAGCCTGGAGGACTGTGTGTCAACGGACGCTGCCTGGTGAGTGGCAACAATACTGGATGTGTGTGTTGATGTTTTCTTAACATACATGTTGATGTTGTTCCCCACTTCCCATTCCCATATTCATTTCCCAAGTTTTAATTGAAGGATAATCTTATTGCCCCTCAACATACAGTATAAACACACGAGTCTGCTGGGTAATTTTACAATGATAAAGGGTTAATGGTATGGATGTCAAATGTAGTTATTTCCACTTTGTTTTTACAAACAAAAAAACACTTTTCTTTCGCTAGTTTGGTGTGGTGGTTCAAAACCATAGTTGCCAAATTCATCCAAAATTGATCAAAACTCATAACTTGAGGGATTTAAAAGCTCTCATCATTCAGATGAGAAGATGGCCGCAGCGGGAGTGAGCCGGTCTGAGTCATGGTCTGCTTCCCTTTTTCATCTTAAACTTGTGGCTATGCATTGCTTGATATTAAGTTACATTTAACAAATTAGTAGGACTAACCTAACAAGGCGCGTGACTGGCTTGACTAAGGGGCAGATTTACTCTTCATATCTTTAAGGAAATCAAATCGCCAACAACTGATCAAACAATGGATCCAATCCAAATGAAGTCTCTGCGCGATACCATCCATCAAGTTAAACAGGATTTAATGACTTACTTTGACACTAAAGTTGATCCGATCTTTGGCACCTTGAGTAGTATGGAGAGATCCCTATCCACATTAGGGGATCATTTGTCGCTACTAACGTGTCGGAGTAAATGAGGACAATCTGACGGATCTCTCTACCCGGGTCAAACAACTTGAAAATGATAATAAATACCTGGTTGATAAGGTCGAGGATCTTGAAAATCAGAGCAGATCTGCAAATCTCCACTTTCTCGGGATACCAGAGGCCACAGAGGGCCATGACATTCTTGGATTTATGGCTGGTCTGATCCCTCAACTCCTGGGCAAAGACGACTTTCCCACACCGCAGGCTATCGAGAGGGCACACCGCACTCCTGTCCCAAAGTCCACTCAAACGAGAGACCCAGTCCTAGGCCTATCCTGATCAAGTTACTCCACTTTCAAGATAAATTAAAGATCCTGCACCTAGCTCATGGAAAAAAAGATCTGACTTTTATCGGCAGGCTCATCTTCATCTACCCGGACTATAGCACTAACTTGACGAGGAAACGTAAAGCCTTCGACACAGTTAAACGGAGGCTCCGGTCTCGAATATTCCCTTTGTTATTCTTGCACTCTGAGTGTTGTAGTTGATGGAGAAAAACGACTTTTCAGCGACCACAAAGCTGCTGAAGCTGCCTTCATAACATCCATGAACTCCTCCATGAACTCTCCTGTATAGCCTACTGATCAGTAAACTTTTTTGTTGTTTGCCTTTCTCTTCCTTCTTTTCTTATTCTGCCACGTCATTTCCGCAGCCATTCTACTATGAGTTAATTATGGTTACTGACTTCTTAATTCAAGCGCATCTAAAACGTCTTCTCTGTTATTTTGGCTGCTAATCTAAGTTGATGTATGAAGTTGATGCTTACTGGTAATGTTTGCTGTAAGCTGTCTAGCCGCCGTAAAAAGGAAGTGTAGTGTCGTAAAAAGTCGTATTGACTCTACTAAGTCTCCCCTGTATTTGGGAGGCAGATCTTGTTTTGCTCCTATTAAGGATGTTTTTTTGTTTGTTTGTCTTATCTTGATTAAATATGCATTTTCTATTTTTTGTATTTATTTTTCCTATATGTGGTCATAAGTAGTGCCCTTAATAATTTCAAAATGACCTGCTAAAGGCACTTGACCTAATATGTCAATGCAGGTTTTGTTTTGTGCCACTCTAATGTCTTCGCTTTGAAGCAGAAAAAAAACCTGGGCATGGGGACCTGGGTTAATAGGCTAGTCTTGTGTTTGTTTCCTGTTGTCTTGTATTGCCTTTGTGTGTGTGAATCTGTTATGTATTTTGTTGTGTTTTTTGTGTCTAATTGTAATGACTATTTATTTAGTAATTTTGAGTCCTACAAACTACTTCCCTTGACTTTTTCAGTTTTACTATGTTCATTGATCATGATCATTGGTGTTACTCTCTTAAACTTTAAAAATCAAATTGGACAAATAAATGATAAAGGTCTGAAAATAATTCATCTAAACATCAAAAGTCTTCTACCTAAAACTGACATGCTTCGAGCATGGGTTGAGCAGTATAAACCTGCTGTTGTTACTTTATCTGAAACTTGGCTCACAACAAAATTTCTAACAATGAAATTGAACTTGCTGATTATGTCTTATATACCGTAGGGTTGATAGAGGTGCAAGAGGAGGTGGTGTATCCACATATGTGTCTTCTAATTTGGTCTCAGAGTTAATTATTCCAGATATTGAACCCCTGCATTTTGAGTGCATTTTTGTAAAAATAACTCTGCATGCGAATAAGTATATAACTATTGGAAATATATATCGACCTCTGTCTGCACCTGCTGAATCTATAAATAACATGATCTCTACCAGTAATTCTATTAAATTCACAAACAAAATTATACTACTAGGTGATTTCAACAAAAAATGGCTTGATAAATCTGCTACTAAAGATAAAAATAGTTTTGGAAATCTGAATCTTCAGTGAACCCACCCGTGTTACATTAACGTGTCAGTCTCTACTTGACTGGATACTAGTCTCTCATCCAAACAGATTCCTAAAATCAAGAATTATGTCTGATTGTTTTAGTGACCATGCAATTGTGTACTGTATATGGAAAATTAAACTGCCTAAATTACCTCCCAAACTAATTACAATTAGACAATATAAAAAACTAAATGTAGATCAATTTATTAATGATATAACTGCAATTAACTGGGATAGGTATCAGTTAATACCAGATGTCCAGGATGCGTGGGACTTTTTACATTCTGAACTGAATACAGTTATTGACAAACATGCTCCTCTGAAAACTACCAAAGTAAAAGGCAGGCACCTTCCCTGGTTAAGCGCTGACTTAATTAGTCTTTTCAGGCAGAGAGATGCTGCATGGGCCACATTTCATAAGTGTAAGAATCCTGTTGATTGGGATGAATACAGGAGGCTACGAAATCTGTTTGAAAAATTAATTTATAATCAACTGTCATGCTGTCTTAATGAAAACAATATCCTGTCACCTTTTTTAGTCTGGTTTTCGTTCAAATCACTCTACAATTACTGCACTGCTAAAACTAACTAACGATATTCTCACTGCTTCGAACACTTCTGAACTAACTGGTGCAATTTTCATTGATTTGACAAAGGCTTTTGACTTGGTTAATCATTACATTCTTCTGGATAAACTTCACTCTATTGGCCTTTCACACACTGCATTACTCTGGTTCAACTCATACCTTCACAACAGAAAACAATGTGTTGTTATTAATGGAAACAAATCTGACACTTTAACTCAACAGTATGGTGTGCCTCAAGGATCAACGCTCGGTCCACTTCTTTTCTCCATATTTATTAATGATCTTCCCTCTATTTGTAAGTGTTCTGTTCAGCTTTATGCTGATGATACGGTTATACTGTATATACATCACATACAAATATAGTACAGATTGAAGCAGACTTACAGTCTGATTTTAATAACTTACAACACTGGCTTGCAGTTAATAAGTTACTCCTCAATAAAACTAAATCACATACTATGATTTTTGGCACTCGACAGAACATCAAATCTAAATGCAAAACACATTCATGTTGTATTTCCTGTCTGGATGGCACTACATTGCAGAAAGTTGAACACATCAAATACCTGGGCCTATACCTTAATTCTGAGCTTTCTTTTAAATACCATATTAATCACATTGTACATAAAATTATTTATAGTCTTGGTCTCCTTTTCTGTTCCAGTCACTGTTTCCCACTTATGGACAGAAAAAAGATTGCTCTTCAACTTATATTGCCAGTAATGGATTATGCTGATTCTGTGTATTGCATTGCTTCTAATACCTCTCTTGCTCCTCTTACTATAGTTTGTAATAGATTGTGTAGATTTATTCTTAACTGCTCATTCACAACTCATCACTGCACAATGTATGAATTCTTGACTTGCCCACACCTCATATAAGAAGACAGATTCACTGGTTGCAATTTATCTTCCTATGTGTTCATTTCAACTATCCTTTTTATTTAAAACAGCATTTGGTTCCTTTCTCCTCCACTCACCACTTAAGACATACTGTACAGCTTTTCTTTTCAGTACTTAATGTTTCAAAGTCCACATCAAAAAAAGCTTTTATGTTTAAAGCACCTTCTGACTGGAGTAATTTACCAGTAAATATTTGCTCCATTTCATCTTTCAGACTGTTTAAACATGCCTTGGCAACTCATTTTCATACCAACTGTACATGTAGACTATAACACCTTTTCAATTTTATCTCATTTCCAATATTATCTCATTTGTCATTCTTCTCTCTTTACTGAACCACTCAATTTCACTGACATTTTACAGTAATGCTTGGCTATATTTTTGAATGATCATTATTTTCCGTTATTCATTATGTTGTAATTGTAGGCTCTGTATGACTTTGTTGTTTGTTTTGTGTTTTTGTTGTTGTTGTTGTTGTTGTTGTTGTTGTTGTTTGTTTGGTTGTTTGTTTCTGTTTTGTTCTGTTGTGTTTATCTTGGCTGTATGAGTGTAATGTTTTTGTGGTATTTTGTTCAGGACCCCCTTGAAAACGAGATGGTACATCTCAAGGTGTTATCCTAATAAAAGAATTTCAAAGAATCATTCCAGTAAAATTGACCTAAATTTACCTAAAATAAACCTAAAAGGCTTATCCAAACTAAACTTATAATAAAGACTGTTTTTATTCCTTCAAGATAACAGAGGAGCAATTTGTTTATCATTTATGTACATTTGTAACAGTCTATGATGCCAGTTCAAAACTCCTCAGAAGGAGAGATATGTCATTGACTACAAGACCCATAAGCCATCGGGCCAATCACTGGATACTCTGTTACCCCTTAGCCTTAGAAGAGAGGCAGGCCTTTCTTTTCAACATAGGCCCTGTTGG